TGTTCATCTATTGATAGACATATAGACTGTTTCCAAGATTTAGTTGGTATGAATTGTCCTGCTAAACACAGGTATGCATACAACACTGTAGTATGATATCTTTACCTCTTTTGAGAAGATACTTAGAAGGAGAATAACTGGGTCAAATGTAACATCTAATTTTTTTTGAGGAATCTCCATACTGCTTTCCATAGTGATTGTATCAATTTACAGTCACACCAACAATGGAAAAAGGTTTCTTTCTCCTCTCAGCTTCCCCAGCATTTGTTATTGGTTGATTTCTTGATGGTGGCCATTCTTTCTGGAGTGCAATGGAATCTTAGTGTTGTTCTAATTTGTGTTTCTCCAATGACCAGTGATGTTGAACATTTTTTCATGTATTTATTGGCTGTTTGTATTTCTTCATCTAAGAAGTGTCTATTCATTTCAGATATCCATTTTTAATTGGGTCCTTAAATTTGGGGGATCTGATTTTTTTGAGGTCTTCATATATTCTAGATAATAGTCCTTTGTCTGAGGAGTAGATGGGGAAAATTTTTCCCATTCTGTAGGTTGTCCCTTCACCTACAACCTTTTCTTGGTTTCCTTCCCTATGTAAAAGCTTTTTAATTTGATTTGATCCCATTTGTTGATTCTTGGTATTATTTCTTGTGCAGTCGAGGTTTTGTTCAACAAGTCTGCTTATACCTATGTCTTCAAGAGTTTTACCTATTTTGTCTTCCAGGAGATTATGTGTTTCTGTTCTAATGTTGAGATCTTTGATCCATTTTGATTTTAGTTTAGTGCATGGTGAGAAATATGAGTCTAAGTTCAATCTTCAGCATGTGGACAGCCAGTTTTCCCAGAACCATTTGTTAAAGAGGCTGTCTTTCCTCTAGCAAAGAGATTTTGCCCCTTTGTCAAAGGTAGCATAGCTGAGCATGCTTGGAGCTACTTCTGTATCTTTTATTCCATTCCATAGATCCATGCATCTGGGTTTTGCTGTGTAGTTCAGGATGGCCTTGAACTCACTATGTAAGCTGGTCTCTAAATTGCAGTCATCCTCCTACATCAGCCTTCAGGCATGCACCACCACACCTGGGTCATTTGTCTTTTTTAAAAATACTAATGTAACTTTTATTGTCCAGAAAGTAGAGGGAAAGGAATGAATAAAACTAGATATCTCTCCATCTCCATATGACAAAACATGACTGATATAAGCCAGTTGATATAACTTCATTTTTTGGCGGATGATTAGTCTAAAATTGGACACTTGTATTGGTAATGGAGAGAGGAGAATATCAGTATATCATCTAAGAATTCTTTCTTTACCTGATTAAATTGGAAAACCTCATCAAGAGAGTGTTTCCGCTGCCTGTTTTCTTCTTGCTTTTAATGTAAAAATGATTCTAGAAATGTGGTGGCTCTTTGTGGCCATGAAATGTTATACAGGACAGGAAACTAGTAAGATCTTGGGTCCTACTAACATTCTTCAGTATCCAAATACATTTCTATATAATATTTATGACAATATTCTTATACTTTTTTCAACTTTATAAGACACTTCCGTACTAGTTTATTTGGATGGGATAACCTATTATCATATTTAATATCATACGCTATTTTTCTTTATTTAATGACAAAATATATGTAAACCATATTTACTGTATTAAGAATTGTTAAGTATACTGTTCAGTGGTATTAAGTCCATTCACATTGTTGTGCAACCATCATTGGCATCCATGATTTTCAAACTTTTTTCTTCTCAAACTGAAACTCTGCATACACTGAACACTGACTCCCTATTCTCTCCTTTCAGTTCTAAAAACTATAACTCTACTTTCCATCTCTATAAATTTGAGAGCTCCAGTGACCCAATGATTCACGAATGTCGTCCTTTTGTGACTAGCTTAGTATAGTGTCTTCAAGGTTCATTTATGTCATAACGTGTCAGAATTTCCTTCCTTTTTAAAATGAATAATAATCTACAGTATATAAAATATTATAATATTCTATGTATGTATGTCACATTCTATTTATTTATTCATTAATGGACACCTGGGTTGCTTCACAACTTGGGCTATTGTGAAGAATGCTACAACAAATATAGGTTTACAAATATCCGTTTGAGTCCTACTTTGGATATACACATTCAGAAATGGAATTCCTGGCTTATGTGGTAACTATATGTAGATCTTTCTTTCTCTTCCTTTCTTTCTTTTTTTTCTTTCTTTTTTTGTTCTTTCTTTCTTTCCTTTTCTCTTTCTTTTTTTATTAAGGAACTGCCATGCCATTTTCTATAGCAGTTACACCTACCAGAAAGGTTCTAATTTCCTACCAGCCATACAGAAGGGTTCCAACTTCTCTACACTTTGCTAGCACATATTATTTCTGTCTTATTTTTAATGATTATCATACTTACCATAGATTTCTAATTGTATTTTATAATGTTTATTCTGTAGTTTGAGGAATGTGCAGGAATTTATTTGGATATTTAGATTTTATTTTTAGTTTTATATTCTACTCTCACCCTTCTTCACATTTGCCACCATCTAGCAGATTTGTAGAGGCTCAAATCAAGGATTCTCAATCCAAAACCAGGTCTTAAAAGGTCAATGCTCAGGGCATTGACCCTGGGTGACTTGTAGCTGTCACTCACTCTTGGCTTGGTCACTGGTCATGAGGATGGATCAGCATTGTCTTACCTCCCTAATCTCTTAGCTCTCTATATGCCAGAGTTACAACCATACCTTCTTTTCCTTCCCCTTGTATTGGTAAAAGAGTTCCTTCCTTTATTTCATTGTTCTCAAGGGGCCTTGGTTTCAGATTCCTATTTCTCACAGTGCCTTTGTTACCACCATCCTAGAAGATTCTCATTCAGCTGCTATTACCTGATTAAGGTTCCTAATTTAAGCAAATACTTTATTCTACCCTACCTAGTTTTTAGCTTTATGATTTTTTTATATGTTTATTTTTCCTATAACTTAGTTGTGATATTTTTGCTATGTTTATATGCCTAATTTTTACTATGTGTTTGATGTAGCTTAACATATTTGAGTATAACAATTTGAGAATAATAAAATGTGAATTTTCTGTGAACTTTCTTTAGACTGGGAGGTCTAAAGATTTTAGAAAGGAAGTGAGTTCTTTTCTCTTATTAAGTCTACCTTAGGCCCATTTTAATAAATTTGTGTTTCTTTTCAGTGTACCCACTCAACTATATTTTCAGTTACCTCTGACTTAGACTATCTTAAAAACTAGGCCTCATGAGTTTTGAAGCCTTGAATATATAGTCTTCTCCACTTTATTCTCCTCTTTTTGTTCCTATAATTATTCAATTCTTGAATATCTGTTAGGGCTCCATTCAAATTCTTTACTTTGTTTTACTTCCTTTTTTTGAAAGTGTCTTTAAGATGTATTTCTGGTTTCTAAATCACTGCATGCTCTAAGCATTAGTTTTCATGTGAGCACTGACATTTCTTTATGTTCTTGATTGAATTATGATAAGCTCTTCATACTTTTTCACTGTAGCATTTCAACTTTATTTTTATTTAGAATTCAGGTTTTTCATCTGCTGAAGAATATTGTACTACCATCCCTCTCAACTCTCCCACTTTCTTTCATGAAGATGATCCAAAGAGAAGGATCAATGACAGGAAGTTAAGCTTTAGGAATAGTCAGAACAAAGAAGTACTTGATTTAAATGATTTTGCAAAATACATATTCAGTCATTTTATATTTTTCAACTTTTTCCCCTTTATATATTTCCTTGACTCTACAGTAGTAATTATTTCTCTAGCATTTGTGCAAATAATGAGTTTTGTCCCTCATACAATTTAAACTTAACTAGAAAATAACACTTCTGCAAAATGGATTATAAAAATGCATGTGAGAATCATGGGGGATTCATTCACTCATTTGTATAGATGTAAGGATCAGCCATTAGTCATGATTTGGAAATATAAATATGAATAAATAGGGTCTCAGGCTTCAAGGAGCCCACAGTCTAGCACAACAGACATACAAAAAGAATTTCCATATGTAGTGTAATAAATGCTTAATATTCATGAAGAGTTCCACTAAATTAGTGCAAAAAGACCTGTCAAACCTTTACAAAATATACTTTATTCTGCTGCAGCTTTTAAGATGAGTTGAGCTTATCACAAATACAATGGAAGGAAAGGTGTTCTAGGAAGAATTGTTCAACATATGTAGACTATTTAAGGTTTATTTTCTATTCAGAGGATGACTATAGGAAAGACAGTAGCATTAAGAAGTTAAACAAGAAATGAATGTTTGAGTGAGATTGTTAAAAGCCCTGTGTATAATACTAAAGGGCCCAAATATCTACATGAAACCTTGGGAGAATTTGGATAAGCATTATAAAATTTTTATATGAGGGAAGTATTGTCCTCTATGTAAGGCTGTTGCAAATATTTGTGTGACCCTCAATTAAAATATAGTATAAAATCCAAGGGCCCTTTGGGTGTGTACACTGATTTATCAATGAAGAAGTAGAATTAAGAGCAGAGAAGAGCTGCTTACAGTTTTAGGTCATGTCCAGCTCTGATCCCTAACAGCATGCTGGCACCATCTTCTCCTGTTCAGGTCTGAAGACTTGATTGTCAAATTCAGTCATGAATATCAAAAGTGCCACTCAGAGCCAGTTTTATGTCTCCCATCATGAAAAGAAAAGTAATACTGTTCTTACTCATAACATTATGTTCTTCTGAATCTTTCTGTATTAAAATAACAGACATATCTTACTTCTGTTCCTCAATACCATTTTTAAAATGCCAGTTACATCTTTATGTATAGTGCTGCATCGGTCATTGTGTCACCTGAGAATATTGGTGTCTATTGATTATTATGCTTCTTCAATGATAACCTAAAATGTAGCTATATCAGATCATACTGAAGTCTGAATAATAATTTGTTTTCTGACCATGTTCAGTTCATCATTCAGAAGATTATAGTATAAATATTGAACAACACATCTTACAATCATGTCTTCTTTTTAGCCCTTTAGGCTGTAATCTCTGCATTTCTGGAGTGTCTTATCTTTCATGAATGACTTGATCCCTGCCTTTCGCATACCACCAACAGCTGAACTGAGGGACCATGAGTGAAGTGAAAAGAGCAGACCTTTTGTACATGGTATGTTCATCTTTCACAAAATGCACCTTAAAAGTAATCCTGAAGAGCATAGTGTTAACCTGTGAATCAGAGACAAGTGGGGACATCAACCAGAAGAGTCAATTGGCACTGCAAGGGGACCAATATCTTGGAGGAGAAGATGCAGCTAGCTACCTCCGTAGTTTTGTGTGTCGTGGATCACACAGAACCTTTGGAAGGATAGATGGTCATCCTGAGTGTATGCACATAGTAAAGGAGTCTGGTCACTTCCCTTGAGGTCTGTAGACCAGAGTAGCACTTCAGCAGAAACAGAGATGAGTGAGAAACAACTGCCCAACCCACACACATGCCTCAAGCCTAAAGGTCTAAAATGGATTCCATTGTCATGTACAATTTTTGTTTTATATATAAATTAAAAAATAAAAAATAAAATGGACTATCAATAATCAAGTCTAAACTGATCCTGTTTCTAGGATAAATGCGAGTCACCCCAAATGTCAGCACAGTTCTGGAATATCAACTTTGCATGATCCCATGGTGGGGCAACCGCACCAGCCAGTAGGAGGAATTTGGCATCAGGACACCCTCTTAAACAGTAGACATGACTTTCACAGTTTACTAGGGTATTTGGGCAACCTCATAAAGGAAGTATTTCAAAGGGGAAAAATCAAAATACTAGTTCAGTTCTGAAGCATCTCATTTTGGCAAGCCTGAGCCAGTGGAGAGGGACTTAGAAAATACAGTGTTTGGTACATCCAACAACCAGACCGATCCACAACCAGGTCTGGGACAAGAGGGTCCCATGTAAATGATATGATAAATCCAGCTCCTCCCAAGAATGAGAGAAGAAACTTCAAAAATCGAAGAAGGCACTCAAAGTTTTGGGCAATTGAGGCACATGAAGCAATCTATTTCTTCAAGTCTAATAGTGGTTCTAACTAGTGGTACTAATTTAGGGTATACATGAGGAGTGTCTTTAGAATTTCTTATATTGTCATTAAAAGCTGAAACCTTCATAAAATCAACAGATATTGAGCATTTCAAATGTGTCAAGCATTTTGTTAACAACCTCTAGTGTATTCTGTCTTTCAATTCACTAACAGGCCCAAGTGGCAATTATTATTAATTCTATCATGAATAGAAGGTGAGTGACTTCACAAGTTGAGCAAAACTTTAGAAGACTCCAAAAATAGGGGTCAAAAAAGCAAACAGTGACAAATAAGATTATGTCAAACTGAAAAGTTTCTGCCCTTCAATGGAAACAATCATCAGAGGAAAGAAACAACATATATATGAGGAGAAAATACTTGCAGACTACAAACAACAATGGGTTAATATAAGAATATATAAGGAACTAAGAATCTCAACAGCAAAAAAAAAATTTAAATGGGCAAAATATCTAAATTGATATTTCTAAAAGAAATTATAGAAATGTCCAAAGTGAAAAATGTTCCACATCACTAATCATCTGAGAAATTCAAGGCAAAATCATAATGACCTATCACCTCAAGAATAATATAAAAAAGGCAAGATATAACAAAGAATGGAGTGGCTATGCCAAAAAGGAAACACTTGTACACAGTTCGTGGGAACATAAAGTAGGGCAGCCATTATGTAAAATGGTACAGCAATTAAAACAAAAAAGTTACACTATTTAGTAATCCCACAATTGGGTATAGAGTTATGTGGTTGAAAATTATAGAGAGATATGTTTAAGTAAACACAAAAAATTAAAAATCATCCCATTGCATATCATCAGATCATAGGGAAATGAAACTGAAAGTTAATAGCAGAAGAAACAACAGAAACTATATACTCATGAATGATCAATGGGTCATGAAAGAAATCAAGCAAAAAATTAGACCATTCCTAGAATCAAACCATAATCTCAATAGAATATATCAGAACCTATGGAACACCATGAAAGCAGTCAGGAGAGAAGTTTATTGCTGTCAATACTTACATTAGAAAGGCAGCCTTGCTCAAATAAATGACTTAATGATGCACTTCAACATAATAGAAAAAAAAGAACAGTCCAAACCCAAATCATTTCAGGAAGAAAATCATAAAGATTAGGGTGCAAATTAATGAAATTGAGACCAACATGTAATACAAAGCAACAATGTATTGAAGGGCTATTTCTTCGAAAGAATAGACACTTAGCCAACCTTAACAAAAAAGAGAAAGAAAAAACCCAAATAATACAGTTAGAAATGAAAACACAAAATCACAATGAAAATTGCCAAAATCCAAAAAATTATTAGTAACTATTTCAAAAACCTGTACTCCAATAGATTGAAGAATCCAGAAGAAACAGATTCCTAGATAACATATGAATTACCAAAACTGAACAAAGAAGATATGAAAACCTTGAAAAATCCAGATAAGCAATAAAATTGAAACAGTAATAAAAAAAGTTACCAATTAAGAAAAGAACAGAACTCAATGGATTTACCACTGAATTCTACAAGAATTTCAGAGAACATGTCACACAAATACTCTTTCCTCAAGAGAAGAATGCTTATTATCACCACTCCAATAGAGTACTCAAAACACTAGCTAGAGCAATTATGCAAGACAAAGAAATAAAAGTAATATGTATAGGAAAGGAAGAAGTCAAAGCATCATTCATTGCAGATGACATTACCCTTTATACAGAAGATCCAAGAGCCTCCACCAAAAGATTTCTAGAATTAATAACCAAATTCAATAGCATTAGCAGGATACAAAAATCAATGCACAAAAGTCAATAACATTACTGTACTTCAATAATAAACTCATTCAGGGGCCGGGGATTTGGCTCAGTGGTTCCACCGCCTGCCTTGCAAGCACAAGGACCTGACTTCGATCCCCAGTCCCAAAAAAACAAAACAAAACCAAAAAAACAAACAATAAACTCATTCAGATTGAAATTAGTAAAGCAATATAATTTACAATAGCATCAAGAAAATACTTAGGAATTAACATAACCAAGGAAGTGAAATACTCTACAATGAAAACTACAGTACTTTGAAAAAGGAGATCTAAGAGGACATCAGAAAATGTATAGATATCCCCTGTTCCTGGATAGCCATAAACAAGATTGTCAAAGTGACCATACTTTCAAAGATGATATACAATTTAAGGCAATTCCAATCAAAATACCAACAGTACTTTTTGCATAACTAGAGAAAACATTCCTAAATTTCATCTGAAACCACAAGAGACCCAGAATAGTAAAAGCAATTCTGGGCAACAAAAGCAATGCAAGAGGCATCACAATCCCAGATTTTAAGTTATATTGCAAGGTTATCATGATTTTATTAAAAAAAAAAACAAACAGCATGGCACTGACACAAAAACTGACATATATCAGTGGAACATAATAGAGAATGTAGAAACAACTCCAGCCACATTGCAGCTATCTGAATGTGGACAAAAACAGATACTAAGTAGACAAAAACGGACACTGGGGTAAGACAGACTCTGTGGCAAAAGGTGCTGGGAATATTGTCTATACATATACAGAAGATTGAACCTAGACCTGTATCTCTTACTATGTACTAAACTAAAACCAAAATGGATCAAAGATCTAAATATCACCATGGAAATATTTAACCTGCTAGAAGATAAAATAGGTAAAACTCTTAAAGACATAGGTATATCCAAGAACTTACTGAAAACAGGGCCCAATTGCACAAGAAATAGCATCAAGACACAATGAATGGGATCATATCAAATTAAAAAGCTTCTGCAGAGCAAAAATAACAACCAACAATGAAAAGGTAAACCTACAGACTGGAAAAATGATTTTTCCTGCTATTCTTCAGAGTACTGATATTAAGAATATATCAAGAACTCAAAAACTTAGACACCCCAAAATTAAAGATCCAATCAAAAACTAGCAACTGAAATGAATAGACACTTCTCAGAAGAAGTATAAATATTCCATAAAAACATGAAAAAAAATGTTTCAAATCTCTGGCCGTTGGAAAAGTTCAAATTAAAACAGCTCAGAGATTTCATCTTATTCAAGAGAGAATGGCAATGTTCAAGAAATCAAATAATAACAAATGCTGGTGAAGCTGTGGGGAAAAAGAACCTTTCTACATTATTGTTGGAATCTGAACTAGTACAATTACTATGGAAATCAGCATGTAGAGTCATCAAAAAATGAAAACTAAAAATTCCATTCAACTCAGCTATTCTCCTTCTAGGTATCTTCCTGGGAGTTAAAAACACAATATTACAGAATATGTATATCCATATTTACACCAGCACCATTCATAATAATCAAATATTGGGAGCAGACAGTATGTCCCTCACCAGATGAATGGACAAATGTGATATTTATATAGAATGGAGTAGTACACTGGTCTAAAGAAGGATAAATATGAGTCATTTGTGGGAAAATGGATGTACCTCGAAACAATAAAAAGTGAAATAAATCAGACACACAAGCTTAAATATTACATCATTTCTCCTATATGAGAAACCCAAAGTATAAATAAATTAAAGAGTAAAATAAAAGATAAAGGAAACAGGGAGGTAGATCTTTTGAAAAACGGAAATGGATCATGAGATGGTGAAAGGAAGGAAGGTGAAAGGAAGAATATGAAAAAGTAATTAAGGTATGTAATGTACGTGTACCAACTCCCCACGATGAATGTAATCATTATGTACTATAATCATATACTAATAAAAATAAAAATTTTAAAAAGGAAAACTATACTGGATGTTTAAATATTTTAAAATGTATTACATTGAAATACACATTTCTACTATTCTGTACAAAATATTCACCATTTTTCAAACACACCCCATCATTCTTGACACTTTCTGAAATAATTCTTACAGTCTTCTTTCATGAAGATCTTTAGTTATTCTGTCATGCATGCCTTGATGTCCTGAACTGATTCAAAACTTTTACCTTTTATGGTCATTTTGAGTTTGGGGAAGAGCCAGATATAGTACAATGCCAGATATGGTGAATAAGGCATATCAGGATAAATTGTAATATTTTTACTGGCCTGCCTTTCTGATGTATGACAAGTGGCATTCATGGTATTTTTTTATCACACCTCATAAAGACACTCATAAAAGATTTCCAGAATTGCTTCAGAAAGTGGCAAGAACAATCGAATAAATGTGTCTGAAGCAAGGCATAGTATCTTGAAGGAGTTTAAGGACAATGTGTCTTTCATTGCAATATATTTCTAAAATTTAAATATTCACTATGTATTTTGATCTCAAAGTAAATGAAATCAGTATGATAAAGAGATATCTGAATCCCTATATTTATTTCAGCACTAGTCACAACAGCCAAGAAATTGAAACAATTTAAATGTCCATCAACCAATGTGTGG